GATGTGAAACTGGATAATGTACCTCTGAGCTGAAAGCATATTTCTTGGCCTAATAAGCATAATGCCATATGGCCTGTTGCAGCGTGGACGACACTGCGAGGGTCTGTGTGTCACAGTTCATTTGTTCTGGGCATGACCTGCTCTGTGGGGGTTGTAGAGATGTCTGTGTCTATATTTACTTACGTCGTCAATTACCGGAGCTTCTACTGCAGTACTGAAGGCTTCCAAATAGAAAGGCTGTAAATCTCTGTCTATCTTTTTGACTGTCTGTTGCTCTTCCTCTTATGGCGGATGGATCTGGCTCTTGGATGCAACCGCAGTATGAATACAGCACACCTCACCAGCACAGGCTCAGCACGACCTGCGCTCATAGAGTGAAAGATTAGAGGAGTGTTTGTGTGACTTATTCAGATTGTTTGTGTTTGAAAGTAAGACAAACCGGTGCAATTACACACTAAGACATACATGCTTGATGTACTTCCCCCCCCTGGTGTAACAGGTCAATTTTCATTGATTTTTAGTCATTGAGTTTTATGTTACAATTTCACTGCTTCATGTCAGATTATTTTCATTTTACGTTTGAGTCATGAAGCGTCAGATGAATGTAGTTGAACTGTGGATGGGCGAAATTACAATATGACAATTTATCGTCTTTCAATGGGATCATATCGTGAGTAAATCATATATCAAGATATCATGATTCATAATTTCAAAAGCAAACACTAATTTAAGGTACCTAAAAGGGAAATGTGAAATATTGTGAGGGAAGATCCCAAGATTAAAGTTCAAATTTTTCTTACATTTATAATTAAATTCAAACAGGATTATTCAAAAAAATCCTTTAGTGGTTAATTCATTTAGACTATTTATTAAAATGCCAGACAAAGTGCTATACTTGAGATATGTAATAGCCTATATCAGGATACCAGATTTTGTCCATGTAGCCCAGCCCCAAGCTAAATAATAATAATGTACCTTTCATTCCCATTGACATCTGTGGCTGCAGTGCCATTTGTAAGTTGAATAGTAGCTGTGGCTGTCCCACTGTTCATTTCTTGAAGCATTAAGCTGGGCTCTGTTAGACTGGCCCTGCAGGTGGTTGGGTTGTGGTCGCACAGCAGTGTCACTTCTGTAAGATGTTCTCTGGCTGAGAGGAGAAAGAAAGGAATACTAAAAATTGAGAACATATAATGGATTCTATGTGTCTTCAGGAATTTACGTCCACCCAACGACTGTTAAACTGAAGAACTTTAAAGTGTAGATTCGATAGGCAAACTAAAACATTTCTTATGCTTTACCTGCTGTTAAAGTGGGAGACGCCTGCCGGCTCCTCCACCCAATGTAGGTGGGGCATCTACATCTCAGTAGATGGTTGTATGCTGACCTGAAGTCCCTGTTGAGGGCTCCATACAGGATAGGGTTGAGGGCTGAGTTGGCATAACCCAGCCACAACACAATTGGAAATGCTGCTACTGTGCTTGGGTCCGGGTGCTCCTTTAGGCCCAACACTGTGAACAGGATGAAATATGGCAGCCAGCACACCACAAAAGCCCCTATCACTGCGGCCAAGGTCACCGTGGCTTTGTGCTCCCGCAGAGCCACCGCTGATACACTGGAGACCACAGTGGTAGTGGTGGAAGGATTGTCGCCGCAGTTGTAGCTCGTGATACAGGTGGGTCGGGCACTGATGATGCGTTTGGCCTGTGCCCGTGCAATGCGAAGTATTCGGAGGTAGGTCCAGCACATAGCCACCAGAGGCAGGTAGAAGGTGAGAAGAGAGTCAGTCAGCACGTAGGGCCTGTTCAGCTCAAAACGACATTTTCTCTCTGGAGCCCAAGGCCCTTGGTTCTGCACCGTGCCATTAACAGTGTTCCACCCCATTTGGATCGGCAAGAAGGACACAGCCACAGACACTGTCCAAACACCGGCCATGGCCAAAGCAACTCTCCATGGCAACACCAGTGAGGTGTATCTCAGAGGCATGGTCACTGCCAGGTAGCGGTCCACACTGATGGCCAGGAGGGTGAGGATGGAGGCGGTGCACAGCATCACATCCATGGAGATGTAGAAGTTGCAGAAGATGGGGCCGAGCGGCCAGTCGTTAGTGAGCTGGTGGAGGGCGGAGAAGGGGAGCACCAAGAGGCCGAGCAGCAAGTCTGTCACAGCCAGCGACACGATGAAGCAGTTTGTGAGGCAGCGGAGGCGTCGGGAGGCGCAGACCGCCACGCACACCAGCACATTACCACCGACCGTCAGGATGATGAGGAGGGTCAGGGTGACACCCAGCACCACTTGTGACAACATTATCGCTGGTGCTTCACTGGAGACAATCTGATGACGTCACCGCTGGAGCTTTATGTGAACCATTGCCACTTTTTTTTGTGTTAGTTATACGCTTGAAAAGAGGTTGTGACATTTACATTATCAGCCTTAGTCTCCAATTAATGTCGTCACATTAAACACCTGCACAGGGTGTTTTAGGTGCTTCCATTTATTAAGGCGCATGCAGTCTAACCTCAATGTTTCCATGGTCCAATGTAATCCCTCCGTCTCCCAAAATGTCCTTTGCCTTAGCTGTGCATTTACTTGACTGTTTGCTGTTCTTGCTGAGCTTAAAATATATATTTGTAACTTTCCTGTGACTCAACCACACCAGTAACCCCATTCACACTTGCTACAATATCCCTAAAAAGTCTTGCTAGAAGTTCTTTAAACAACTTTGATCTCTTGAAAAATGCTGCAACTGATTGAAAGTTCCAAATCTGCAGAATGCCTTGCTGGTTTAATGCCTGTGATGGCTGTTGAATAGCTTTCTGTCTGTGTGGCCGATTCTTGTTGGTCCATGGCATCACCTTGGCTGCATCACCGTCTTCTTTGGCTGTACTGACACCTAGCGGACAGAGATGATAAATACAGTTATTAATCAGCACAGGATGTTTCACAGCCCTGCTTATATACAAATGAATAATTTACATATAGTTGATTTATTACATTCCCTCTGATAGATTATTCAACCCTAATTTGCACAACTATTCAAGTACAACCACCATAACCAAACCAATTATGGAAACATTACTCTTTTGACTAAATATTTGGACAGTGTATTTTATCAGTGCATGTTTTTTTCGGCGGCCAGGATAACATCCATGTGCTATCATGGCCTCTGAGCTATTTTTCCCATCTATGGATTAATATGGTAAACGTTGGAACACACCAATGCAAAGTATTTAAAGTATTTTTGGATACAGACAGGAACTTTCATGAGAAAGGAAAATAATGATAACTCAACTACAAAACAAAAGTCATATAAATCACACAAGTCACTGAGTTGGCACTAGTTTATAGGAGGTGATAAAAAAATAATGAATAAGTAGCCAATGAAGACTGTCCTGCAGTGTCTACATAAACATCTGTTTAAACTCTACATTTTTGTGTCTAAACAATTTTTTCATTTTCAGATATGTTTCCAATCATCTGTGATTAATTTAAAAGATGTATCTCCAGACTAAGAAAGACTATCTAACTTTGGCCTATCAGTGAACTGACAACTCAGGCTTAATTTGTAGCACCAGGAAACGTTGTTTTTTTGTAAAAGTCCGACAGTTCCCATACACAACCTAACCAACCCTAACCATCAATACTAAACATCTTATCCCAACATTAACTTAATTTAAACAACTATTCTAAACTTCTCACAGTCTGTTAAAGTAGTGGCAACTGGCCAAACATATTTCCACTGTGCAGAAACACACTACTTCATGGTATAATGAAATTGGTCCTTAAAAGGGCAGAAATATAAGCACACACAAAAAAGATGGCTGATTTTAGTACGTTTATTTCTAATTCAAAATGTAAGCCTCAAGCATTGCATGCACTGTTTGATGAGTGAGGGATTCAATATGCTGTGTCCTATTATTATTATGTATCATTATAAGGACCCTGTGCTTTAACAAAAGAGACATATCACTGTCAAATGTTATGGTATTATGTTCACGTTCAGTTGTTTCACTGCCACCAAAAGTAAAGCTGCCATTTTAGAAGTGCAGCTCCTGGGAATTCCAATCTATCTCTAATAAAACCATGAACCAACACAGTAGTTTGTTTAGCTAAGGCCAATATGTGCAACTCTGTGTAAACAGTAGCATTCTGCTGCAGCTCAGATAATGCAAAGTCTGGCTGTGATTTCAATGTTATCAGATCTGATGTTGCTGCAGAAATGTCTTGAAGGTTTGCACTGACTGATGAGAGCAGCTCTGTCAAATGATCAGAGCAAATGTAATGATGTGATTAAAGTATATGCAGTGGCCAAATAATGGCCATTCATATGTTTTTAATGCAATTAAATGTAAACATAATTACTGCTAGTTTGTTAGGCAAATACTTCTCATGTACCTTTGACAAAAAAAAGAATTTTCTTTCTAAGTTAGACCTTGCAAAGAGAATGTTATTTGTCCTTTGCAAACATACTCAGTCATTTATTAAATGGGGACAAGAATTTTTAATGTGTGCCTGGCGGAATGAGGGTGACTACTTGAGTGTGTGTGTAGTGTGTAGTACATGGGTTTTGCGTCAGCGGGTGGTGGGTAATGTTTGCTCGTCTATTTTCTAACACTGTAATGGATACTGGGACATTTGCCAGACTTAGAGCAGAGCCGCTCACTTATCACCTCAAAGAGAGAGAGACTAAAACAGAGAGGTGGAATCGCTGGCTTCACATGAAGACGAGAATAAAGAGCATTAGACTATATAATGGGGAAAAAAACACAGAAAGAAAGGTTTTAATTACATTTTGGGCTGCATAAAACCAGAACCCCATCTCTAATCGTTGAACTCTTCTAATCTTCACTTCTTTGTTCCATGGACACATTTCTGTCACCGACTGGCGGCTTTGAACTTCATCCAGAGCAAACACTGATAACACGGCTCCTAATGTATCAAGTGCTGCTCTCAAATGCACATGACATCTCCTGCGCTATATCTGACAGAGCCACAGACTGACTGGCTGAGACCAAACATTTCAACCTTTTTAATCAACAACATCTGTCAATCACTGTCCTGCTTTGTCTAACAAAAGCACACACAGAAGCTCACAGAATTGCTTTTTGGATTCGCTCCAACAATGGCCTCTGAGGAATGTCCACATATGGACATGTATTGCAGTCACTTGAAGTTTCTGAATAACCTCGTCTCAACCCTGGGACATAATGTATAAGACGTGTATTCACTCAGGCCTTCTGGTTGTCTGCCCTCAGTCAAATGCATTACTTATTTTTCCCATGTAACAGTGCATGTGTGTGAGTGCAGCTATAATCGTTTCCTGTTTATTTTTGCATAAACATTTGTGTTTTAATAAAACCATATTAATATACAATCCTTCCCACTCACTTATCAAGAATCACATGTAAGCACAAGATTTTGATTCTTAATTAATACTGGGGGAAAATGAAAGTTTCTTACATGCATTTTCACTTTATCAAATCACTGTCAGACTGTGCAGACTATGGTTTCAGTACAAAGTCACAGTGGAAGTCATTCACCTTAATGTTGAAGTATAATACCCTTATATAGTAAATAAAGCATTGTTCATTTAGACAGTGCGCTACTTTATTACTGACATCTGTTTTCTTTCAAAAACTTCTCGTTAGTTATCCCTAATGGAAAAGGACAGTGAGTGTTACCACATCTGTTTATATCTTTGCAGACACACATGCACACACACTCGCATGTAGGCGTACATGCACACACTAATACTAACACATAACATACATCTTAATAATGGGTTTTCAGGACTGTAATGGTTTGTAATGACTGCTGAGTGCTGTGTTTTCCACAGGATGTAAAGGCTGCTCTACTTTAAAAGGTTTTCTGCAGGAGAATGCCGTTTCTTGTTTTCAAGAAATGACAAAATGTTGCAGCTGTGTTTTTGGTCTTGAGGACAATGCTTTGAGGGATCATCCTGGGACAGGTCGATCTTTGTGTAATACCCAACAGTTAGTGGACGTAACAGATATACATTTTAAGTGATTAACTTGAACGAGATCCTTAATCGCTTTCTCTCCCCTTCTCCTCTCTTCCAGCACAAAAACGATGCAGATGAGCCGGATAGGCTTCATCCTGCCCCATCAAGACCTGCCATTACTCAGTAAGTGGTCTGGTGAAAAGAGCCCAATTTGGGTATTGAGATGAAAGGCAGGCAGAGAAGAAGTTGGAACAGGGGCTCTTTACCAGACACGATCTGAGCTCGGAGATGAGTAATGAGGTTATTTACTTCTCAGCTGGGACTCGCTTTCTGATTTGCGGCATTCTCCAAATACCAAGTGCTCAATCTGTGACATTTTTTCTTACCAGCCAGATGTGTCTTTTTTAGAAATAAACATAAGGAAAATCTGCTCTTTTTCAAGCCAATTATTAACTAAAGTAATAAAATGTTTTGCCAGGAATGCACAGACGTGTTTGAATTTGTTTAAGCAATCGGTACACTGATTAGTTATGCACCTCTTACATCCAATATTGTTATAAGCTCTGAATCATTAGCAGGGTAAGAAATTAACTTTTTTAATGCTGTTGCTCCAGACTAATTGCACATACAGGAAATAACTTGTAATTCATTCACATCATTAAAACTCCATCACAGCGTGTCTGCCACCTAATGTTGGTAGGAGTCATGGCAGTGTCTTAAGATGACTCACTGAACCAAACTCCTTGCCTCTTCTCTGCAAGGCTGCTGATATGTGGAAAGCGTGGTCTCAGCAGGGTTGCATGACACCATGCACTTCTTATAACATGATATTTTTGGTGGTTGGTTGAAAAGCAAAGTGGTCAAAAGGTTTTAGAAGTATTCTACATTTTAAAAAGCAAGGAATTGAATATGATTTCCTTAAGTAAGACTGCTAATAGGTACATTAATCCATTCATTAACTTGTGAAGACTCAGATGTCGAAAGCAACTTTTCCCCCTGCATTCAGCACCCGTCAGAGCAACATAATGCAATTAGACATCTGAAGCCTTCATTTATCCTTATACAATTCAATTGAGCAAAAATATTTGGCTCACTCACTTCCTCTGCATGTGCAAACAAATCTATCACTGTCTGTATTTCTCTGAACGTGTGTCTGGGTCTGTCTTTGTGTTTGTCCTTGACAGAGACACCCAGAGAGAGAGAGAGGAAGTGGTCTGGGATGGTGTGTTGCCTGGTAACCGGTGTGTGTCCTGACCAGTGGAGGGACGACGAAGCGTGAAAGAGGAACATGGCGCGCAACAGACGTGAGGGCAGACAGGTAGACACACAGGGGGGGGCAGACGCATGAAATATGCATAGATACTAACAGCATGCATTGCTAACGAGTTCAGGTCACATGGGATGGTGGATTGCATTCAAAGTCAGAGTTGTCCTGCACCTCTGTTATGACTACATTACAGCTACCGTATACAATGCTTCAACTTGCAATAAACATTTCAACATTATTGTAGAAAAACACAAACTCTCACAGGTCCAGCATCAACTTGTTATATCTTAAAGCGCCATTTTCTACTAGCATCTAAGCAGTGAACTTAATGGCTGCCTTTGTCCCCCTGACCCAGTCTTGACTCTAAACCACATCCCCTCTCTCCCCTGTGGGCGGCTTCAGCTGATACCCGCATTGCACTTGACTTCCTTGTTCTCTTCGGTTAACCCTCCCTCCAAATTTGATCTCTATAAGTCATAATGTGCAACAATTTTTATTAAATAGAAGCTGCTATTCATAATAGAGACTCAACATAGTTCATTAAAGACTTTCTTGTTTTAAATATCAAATGTCAGCTTATTGAAGTGTCAGCTAATTTTTTACTGACTTCAGCAGCAGGCAAAGCAAAAGAAGGAACATAAGGTGAATCACATTAGTTATGAACATATAAAATAAATAGCACTAACTAGAAAAATTCATGATTCATCAACATAAAAGTCTTCCAATACGGATGTCACAGTACTTGGAGATTTTTTTCAGCCATCTCCCTGGAGTGCAACGAAGGAAAAACCATCACAACAAATATTTTCAGGGATCCTTTGAATGACTTCTTTAAATAGAGGACAGCACAATTAGATGACATTCTTTGGAAGTTAATTATATTCCATTTTCATCAGATTTTCCCATTATTCCAATAGATAGGGAATATTATTACTATATTCATTCTGTGAGCCATTCAGAGAGGTCCTATCATTATGAACATTAATATCTGTTCATTTGCAATACTGATCCATCCATTGTGCTTACATACAAGGAAATGAGCAAGGACAATGTAAGAATCAGCTCTTCTTCACATTTTGGGTCAGAATATATTCTTTATTGCTATCTTTCTTTCTTTTTAGTTCACATCTACAGTATAATGATCTATCTGTTTTATGCATTTCTTTTAATATGGAAATTCACACTGTATTGATTTGAGAATATGAAACTGGAAATATGAAGCTCAAATGTAGAACTTCAAAGTATGTCATGCAGCAGCAACAAGTATAAGAACACACACACACACACACACACACACACACACACACACACACACACACACACACACACACACACACACACACACACACACACACACACACACACACAACACCGCACGTAGCATAATCTTACTTCCTCATTTGAAGTACTGATTAAATGACCCCTTTGTATATTTGTCATTGTGCATAGTTCACATGCTCAAACCAGGATTGCCTCAGTTTAACTCTCAACATCCACTTGCATTCAAATGTAATCTATAACAAAATGACAAAGGCAGAGGAAACTGCAACTGAGCTGACAAACATTCCGAGCACGAACCAATGTAGTGAGTCTGTTCAAGACAGACGTTGGATGCCAATAACCACACACAATCTGCTTCTCTATTTTCATCTCGTTCATTCTTTATTTTATTTTGAACTTCCTCTTCAGTTTTTGCGTGAACATTAACACTGAGAAATATGAGAGTCAAGTGATAGAATTAAACATCATTTATTTCAGTGTGCTGGTAATTAAGTGAAGAAATTAAGTGGTTTCTCAAATATTTGATACATTTAGTGCATTCATTATTCTTGTTTGACATCTAAAATGCAAACCAGCAGATCAATGCAGACTTACACCACACACCTGCACACGCGTTGTTTTCACACACAAGTCCTTCACACACAAGTCCTTCACATTTGATGAAATATAAAACAATGTTCAACAATAATAAAGTAGGAATTGATCAACTCACCTCCAAGCTGCTTTTCTGTTTCTGAGAAGACTGCCCTCGCTACTCTGCTCTGCTCCCTGAGAGACGAGAGAGCCACAGTCTCGCTAGTCAAGTCTGTGTGTAATAAGTGTGTGTGAGTGTGTGTGGGAAATAGAGGAGGGAGAGAAGCGAGGGAGCACCAGAGACTCACACACTCTCTCTTTCTCTTTCACTCTCTCTGGGGCTCCATCTATTATTCTTCTTTATCTCTTTAGGGTAATTTGCTTTTGAAATCTTTTTAATAGCTCTTCTATTCTCTTATCATGCCTTCGAACATGCGTGCCAGTTGATGTGATAAAGCAACTGCGAACTGGAGACCTGGCTCTATTACCTGAATAATCCAAGCACCTGTTGAATTCAGCCTGAATGGATTGGCCAGCTTTTTAGTCCAGTTTGTTTGTCCAGTTTGTAATGGGAAGAGACAAAAGAAGACATCATGGTATTCATGCATCAATTACATTAGCTTTTATCCAAAACGACTTACAATGAGCAATTACAGGGACATTCTCCCTGGAGTAACTAAGGGCTAAGTGCCTTACTCAAGGGCACACTAGTGGTGGTGTTCCATCTTCAGCCCACCTCACTATCCATTAGACCACCACTACCCCATCTGTTTTGGGCTTTAATTCTTTATTTGTCTCAGGAAATAACACTTCTCTCTAAACTTCAAACTGTTAAATAATATAGGGTTGCTTTAATGCTTCATTGATAGATGGCTTAAGGGCAAATCTATGAGAACTGGCACCAGTTGCAGTAGCGTGATGTCAATGACCCGATAGGTCACAAACATTTCTAAATCAATCTCTCTATTTCTGGTGCAGCCTTTTACTCAGCCTTTGTATCTATTTTTCATGTGCTTTGGCCCCCCGTGTGGCTTATCTATCATTTCCAATGTCTATTCATCTTCTGGGCTGCAGACTAACATTCATAATTTATTATCACATCTCTTTTCATGACTTTTATGTGATGTTTCCCACCTTTTCCTTATCTCTCTCATCTCCGTCTGTCTATGGAGCTGTCTCAGTTCCCGTGGTCTTGTTCATAGCTGGTGCTGAATCAAATCTTTCTATGTCTCTTTTTGTACCATTTATTGATTCCTCTCTCTGTTTCTGTTCCTTCATTTATAGAATGGTTGTCTCTTCTCTGGTTATATCAGCCTGTTGCATTGGTTACTTTTGTATTCCACTCACCTCAACGCTCCGCCTTTATTTCTCCTTGTGTCGCAGTAACAAGGCTCCAGTTTTGTTCCACTACACAGAACTATGCGATAACATATCTTTCTTTATCATTTAAAAAAAATGTCTTCTTTGTTTTTCTCCTTCTTTGTTCGTCTACATGCCTTCTTTCTCTCACTCTTCCTTTCACACAAATCATATAACTTGTTTTGAAGGTGTCGAATCTTAACAGTTACATACTTGTTAATGTTATAAGCTCACCTTTCTTTCACTTTATAATCCTTAGTGTGTTGACAAGCTCTATCTCCACTCAGGTTTCCATAACAACACAACCTCTGATGTGTCTGAGCTGGTGGAGGATACCTGACTGACACTCCTTCATATAGGTGGATGGTGTCATAAAATATTGGCTATGTATGTGATGTATTTTTTTAATCAACACCACAGTTGGGTGTTACTTTGCTTTGATGTTGTTTGGCCTCCAGACTTCCCATACAAGGCTGTGTAAGGAAATGATAAGTATATTTAAACTGATATTGTGGCAGTTGGCATTGATACCTCAAATTCCATTAGCTTTGTATAAATCTTTATTAACGGGAAGTGAAGTCACATATCTAAGTCTAGGTCAACAGTGTGTTTGAAATATCCCATATCTTGATCTGATAAGATTAAGTAATACCAAGGGAATAAAATTAAAAATAACAAATGATTTAGAACTCTACCACCCTCTTTAGGATAAGCAAAATAATTACATAATTCTTCAGGAAATCAGTCATTTGTTAGTCTGTTAGCCGCAGGCCGAAGGGCGAGACAAATTCAGCCATATAAATGAATACGCAGAGAAAAAAACTCTCTTATCCAAAATATTCTTTAATTAAAACTTTTTAACGTATCAAACAAGCTGACTAAACTCTGTCAACAGAAACAAAAATTGTAATTCATACATTCAATTTATTTTGCCAGCTGATAAACAACCGTTTATATTCAACTAATTTAAATCCATGTTGATTTGCTGGCCATCTTTTTCTTCCCTGTCTTATGAGTGTGCATGAGATAAACAAAACAGGGACGCACTCACAGAAAAAAAAGTACTTTCTTTGGACCGTCATGCAGATTTGTAGTTTAGAGATAGATCATTTCAATGTTACTATCTTCTCCACTGTTAAATAAAATATGATGATGTTCCTGTTATTTTCTACTTGAAGCTTTAAGATTGTATTCACAATAATACTAGAGAGTGGTCTATGATTTTCGAAAAGGTCCCATCTATTATGGATGCTTGTTGCCAGTTGTTATTTAAACATTTAAAGGATGATGATCAAAGATGTGGTGAGGGCACACAGTGCGAGCTGGCAGACTATTGACTGAAGTCATCGACAGACTACTGACTTCACACACTGTGTCCTGTCGAGTGCATATTGTGTTAAGATTGCATTAATTAAGAATTGCAAAAAGAACATGTTTAGATAAAGTTTTGACATAGTAGGTAATTTTGCATACTATACATATCCCTTCTTATCCCATCTCTAAAAGAAGACACTGGCTATTGATGTTTTATTTTCACTTATAACACAGATAAAGTATTCCACTTAGTCAAAATGAACAAAATGGAGACTTCACACACGGCGCAGGCCTGTGGGTCTATAGGACTCCACCTTGTTACACTCAACCACTTCCCCTCAACGGTCTGAAGGCAGGAAGAGAGGAGAGACAGAAGAGGAAGAGACACAAAGGGGGATGGGCTTGTTGTTTTAATTTAGAGTTACACAAATACAGAAGTGAGAAGTTTAGTAGACACCCTCCAAATACAGAGGCTGAGAGAGAAATTGGAAGCGAATCCAAAAAAAGACTTTGCAAACTAAAAAGAAGTAGTGCTAAAAGGAAGTAGGCAAAGGGCTACATGTAGTCATGGCTCCTTGGACGAGGACCACAACAGAGCGGTACGGTGTAGGTAAGTTGGTTTGTGTTAACGTTTGGGTGTCTTTGTGTGTGTGCGTTCAAGCACTTACATGTTGGTACAGTGTCTATCCGTTAGGTGTGATTGTAACCAATCTATGCTATCAATAAGAATGAGAGTAAAATATATGCCCTTCACTTCCTGCTTAACAGGATGTGAGCAGGTGCTAGTGGACACACATAACTTTAGGATATACACATTACAAGTATATCCCCCAAAATAAAACAAATCCTAAATTCATATTCACCTTTAAACTTCAATACAACTTAACTCGTAAGAGTTAAGACTATGTGGGGAATAAAATCAAGAAATGCATCTCTCTTTAACTAATGCATAAATAAGTGGCAGTGAGTAGGCAATCTTCATGCATTTCACATTATTCTTTGCATATTTTTTAGAAAATAACTATTTTAGGTTTTGGAAAGATTGATTTTTGCTTCAGGAACAAATCGTAGACAGTTAAAGCATAACGTCTCAGTACAATCTGTAGTTATCTGCTGTGTGGGTTGAATATGGTCGAGCTGATCAGCATGTGTTGCCGTTAGATATGCGATGCAGACACACAGGAATACAGATTTATGAATTCTAATACAGATTGTTATGGCAGAGCTTCACTGCCTTGTTGCACACAATGCCTTGATTAATCAGTTGCTTGAAATAAATACGAGATTTAATTTGCATTGTATAAAAAGTAAGGGAAGTTGTTCTACTGCTTGAAGATTGACAGAGAAGAGGGTAGTGAATTTATATAGGTCATTTGTATCTGTTACTAATAAGATTACTGATTAAAGTGTTGCGGACCTTCTTTATAGAGAATAACATATTCCTGGACTGTATAAGACTACAACACAGGAAGTGGAGGAAGAAAGTCTGAAGCTTTTGTTTTTTTAGTTCTAAGCCTTAAATCTAAATACTGTAAAAAACGCATAATCTTGAAATTATATAAACATGTGTCTTAATTTTCCAAAAAGTATGCATTTCAATGTATTACAGTCAACAATAAAATAAATGGTGATAGCAGTCATTTCTGCGTAACTGGTTAAGTGTCTAATCATTAAGAGAGACCAAAGTGGTGCAGACACACACAATGTCTACAATTTGTGGTCTTGTCAGATAGTATTTTAGTAGACCTTTTTGGACATTGTCTATTTGAATGTTATTTTATTTTTTTACTTTTGTTATTTATTGCTCATTATTTAAAACATTAAAAACATAATTTCAATGGGTTTGTTCTTGTACAGTATATGAAAGCCCCTTGCATTGACTCTGTGGTTGAGATGTTCCTTATAAATAATGCTGCCTTGCAATTTTTATTTTATTTTCTCTTAATTGACCTGACTGTAAATCCTTTGTTGGTGCAGTGACTGAAGAGGTCATGAAAAAGGGAGAGATGAAGAGCCGTTGTCAATAATAATGTAGGCGTGAATAAACATACGGCTCTGTTGCTCATTGGTTGCTGTTTTGGTGGTTTGACAGGTGATCCGTGCTGCGCTTTGGACCGGTTGAACTGAGCTAGGCTAGCCTTTTTCAACTTTTGTTTATCTAGGGCTAGGCCATATGATATTAAGCTATGAGTAGTTTTCCTTCATTGACATAACAAAAAAGCGTTAGGCGTTTGCTTTAGCCCTTATCACACAGGACAACTTTTTTGCCGTCGACTCGTTTCTCAAGAACTGGTGCACTTCACCAATCGGGCTAGCTTACTTTAGCTAACATTCATAACATGATAGCAACATACAGTATTAACCCTGCCCAGCTAGTATTTGTTTGTTTATGAAGTTTGTTTTGAATAATAGTGCTATTAAACAATGAACTATCATATATGCCCCTTATCAGACTGTAACCATTTCATTTTTAGTTAAGTGGAATTTTTTCGGCAAAGGAGAAAAGCAGCTTTCCCTTGAGGTAGGAGATGCGGTCCAAATCCAGGAGGTCTGTGATGGTAAGAATAAATAAATATATTAAATATTGCGCGGTATGCAATGCATCATAGCATAGAAAATCATATTATGCAACAAAGATCACAGTATGGCAGAAAACTGATATTGAGTTTTTCTTTCAGGATGGTACAGAGGCCACCTGGTCAGGAACAAAGTCGTGTGGGTAAGAGCTCACACACATTAACCTGTATTCACACCAGACTGTGCATCACATTGATTTGATCAGAAAGGTCATAATAACACATTATGCATTTCCTTCAACTAGCTTTATTCAACTGAGAGATATTTGTTCTAGTTTTGTGAAAAGGAAAGGTGAGAGCTGCTCTCATTTATGTACATATCTCGCTTATTACTTGTTCCTTTGCAGGGAGTGTTCCCTGCCAGTTTTGTCCATCTTAGGGAGGTTGTCGTTGAAAAACGAGGGTGAGTGAACTTAAGAAGTCTTCATCTGACTCCGAAAATGATGTTCTTTGAATATTTTGTCATATTTTGTGTGCTGTATGTCTGCCTACAGAGGAGAGGAGGTTGTGCTGTCTGCAGAGATGCCCTTGGTGAAAGAGGTGACCACCACTTTGAGGGAGTGGGGAAGCATATGGAAGCAGCTCTTCGTGGTAAACAAACAACATAGAAAAACACTTATTTTATGTGAACGTGTGTATATCTGGGAGTAACAACATATATCTACCTATCCAGGCCAACAAGCGGACGCGTGTGAAGCAGGTCCAGAGGCTGATGTGTGAGCTTATGGAGTGGCGTTCCCAGCTCCTGTCTGGCACTCTGCCTAGTGACGAATTCAAGGAGCTCAAGCAAAAAGTCACCTCGAAGATTGACTATGGCAACAAGTATGTCTGGTCCAAATCAAAATAGCTTGTTTAGATTGGTCAATGTTTGAGCCAATTTTTGTAAACCCTTCTGTTGTCCTCCCTTACCTTTCCACATTTTTTGTAACAGAACTTTTCAGACTCTTCTCCCCTTATCGTTATTTCCTCCAATCCCTCACTTGTTGCCTTTTTTCAGTCCTTTGTACACTTTCCATCCATCTCCCCAATCCTCACCCGAGCGGTATCTCCTTCTTCCCACTACAGGATCCTGGAGCTGGACCAAGTGGTGAGAGACGAGGATGGGAACATCTTGGACCCCGAACGGGCAAACGTCATCAGTCTTTTTCGGGCCCACGAGGAGGCTACAGCCAAGATCAATGAGCGCATCAAAGAGGAGCAGGTAAGGACGAAAGATGAGAAGGCAGGGCAGTGGGGAGCAGATAAAACAGAACCCCATGATGAAATCACACAAAGTTTCAAGGGACTTCTTTGATATATTGCTATCGTTTCACTGCACTATACTTCCCAGAGGTATCCATGGGATTTTCAAAGGGAAACTGTTCATGGGAAAAAGCTGTCATCAACTAGATAAAGGTGGAATCACAGTTTTGTCATTTACTTTGTTTTTATGATAAGAAAGTAGCTCAATTAAACGTCATCTGCATGAAAATGGAAGATAATATATTTCACTTAACAATCATGTCTGCGAGCCAAGCTTTTCGATTTCAAATTGTCTTGACTTCACTGCAGCTCTGTAAATCCTGTGCTACATTTGAACATTGATTAATTAGCAAAAGGAGAATGTATTCCATAATGATATTCTTTCTCATGATTTGATTCTCCTTTACAAACCCATAATCTTCATGCTGCAGTTGGTATTTCGCAGAATTAAGTAGTTTGCAGTAAAGGCTTTCGACAGACATTTTGTCCCAAGTTAACCTCCTTTAACTAATGTCCTCCCCTGCAGTCCAACATCCAGACGGACCACAGCGGGATCTCCGCACGGATCCAGTCGTCCCCCACCCACAGCCTCTACGTGTTTGTCAGGAACTTTGTCTGTCGCATTGGAGAGGACTCGGAGCTCTTCATGTCCCTATACGACCCTGTCAAACAAGCCATTATCAGGTTTCACTTTTCCTTCTTTCTTGGCTTTAGTTCCTTCCCTCCTACAGTGAGCTTTAAAAAGTCTTCTTTTACATGCTGCTGTTTTTCTTTTCACTGTTATTCTCTTTAATGTATTTTTTTAAACGCATATTTGAAGCCCCAGATTCATATGCAAATTTAAATGTCTGGGTTTAGCCTTCAAATTAAAATGATGTTAATGTTAAAGTCTGGCAGATTTAATTCATCCCACTGCCATGCAGTTGATTCGATTTTGTCGTGTAGCTTTGTGTCACTTTGAGATAGAAAACAAGGTGCATGACTATGAATAACTATTGTTGTTTTTTTAAACAAGATGTCTTCGTAAGGCACGTATTGACAGGATTTAGCTTTAGCTTCGTGAAGTGGTAGATTTAGCCAACGCTATAATCCTCTCATACCCATTCACTGACTGGATTTATTTTTTACCATACATTCTTTCCTTACGTTACATGTCACGTGTTAGACGCTTTTATCCAAAGCGACGTTCAGTGGGCAATCCCCACAGGAGCAATTTGGAGTGAAGTGTCTCTCCTGCAGGGTCACAACGCCATGCTGACAGCAGTGGGACTCAAACTTGCTATCCCCTGATTCGAAGTTCAGCGCACCATTCCACTGAGCCACAGCCTCCCGCAGCTGTATATATATATCTCTCTTTCTCTGCTTTTGTCCTTCTCTGCTCCCTTTTTGAACCCCACTTAATTACAACAAGGGGATGCAAAAAGAAGAATACAAAAAACACAAATTATAGGGCAGCTGACACTGACTGGCAGTGCTGTGTGGTGGCTGACAGGGTTGATGCTAAGCCCTGTCACTCACTGTCATACTGGGTATATCTAGGTCTCAGCCACTGCAGCTGCAAGTATTAAGATAGAGCATGATCGATCATGTTTTTTTCAACATATATCTTTCACTGTTAAATCTTCGCTTACTTTATTCTGGTTTCTTTTTTTCTGTCTGTGTTCTTGTTATACTTGTGTGAATACTGCTTTATGTTTTGCTTTTTATTTTTGTTCTACCAACTCCCTCAACTTTTTTTTATATGTCTGCCTCTCTCCGGCAGAAATGCTAAATATTGGATTTTATGATGGGAGACTTTTTCTCTGCTTTGATCCACCCTGCTGAACCCATGTGTCTGTCTTGCTGTCTATTTTTCTTTACTGTCAGTGGCTGGTGCTCGCATGACAGGAAAATGCTTTTGGGAATTATGGGATGTATTTTTAGAACAGGTTTTAATTGTTATTCAGCTGCACTGGGTAACATTAATGGATCCACATGCCTGTCAGGGAACATTTTAGCTTTAGCATTTCAGAATGAATGTAGTTTCCCATCAGTAAATATACTATGCATATGGTAAAGCCCATGTGACAGTGTGCACCAGCCTGATTCGTTGGTTTGAGTAGTGGTGTTAGTAAGTGCAATGCATTCATAGATGAGTAATGACGACTTACATGCTAATAATTTTCTTGTATTAGTAATACTTCTTAGCACAGATTCTTTTAATAATCTCTAGAGCTAGTCAAGAACATCAATAAGACACTTATAATTAACATATTTAATACTTTATGACTGTTAATATAGTACTTCAGGAAGCATTGTGTGTTTGCCAGTATAGACATGGAACATTATGAATGCATTATATTTCGCAGTGAATGCCTGCATAACGCACTATAGATGTAATTTTCTTAGAAATTCTTGTTGATTATATTTATTAAAATGGTAATTGTTGATACTATGTCTCGCTGTATGTTAAACTAATGTGAGTTATAGCTTTGCAGAACACTAACAACAGTTCTTGTCATGTTTTTGCAGTGAGAACTACTTAGTTCGCTGGGGCAGCAAAGGATTCCCGAAGGAGATTGACATGCTGAACAACCTGAAGGTTGTCTTTACAGTAAGTGACCACAGGAGGGCACTGTCTCACTGTTCTTTACATCAAAATACACTGTACTTAATAAGAATGAATGGGGTTATTCCTTCTAAGAAGATTGCATTGTTTTTCATTTCCTTCCTCCCCCTCTTTCCCACCTACCCTTTCCCCCCAAACTCTTCTCTCCTCTATCTATTCATCCTTGTATCGGTTATTATCACATTCATCGTGCACTTCTTACTTTGCTTTTTGTTCTCTCTGCTTTCCTGTCTCTCTTTCTCTCCACCAGGACTTGGGAAACAAGGACCTGTGCAGAGAGAAGATTTATCTGATCTGTCAGATAGTGAGAGTGGGCAGGATGGACCTAAAAGAGACTTTGAACAAGAAGTGCACCCAAGGCCTGAGGCGGCCCTTTGGGGTGGCAGGTACTATAAGATCAGCCAGTGCTGTTTAGTTTTGGTCAAAGTTGTTGCTAAATGTTTTATAATGAGGGCAATCAACCATTAAGATACAAATTCAAAACTCTAAGAATCCTTCAGGTACATTATCTTTTAATAAGCCCAACCATTTGAAATGCTACTGCCAGTGTTTCCGCCAGGGGGGCGTCTTGCCGTCATTTGACGGCCTTATTCAGCTCGGAACGCCCTGAACTCGAGCCCAAAAAAAGACGCCCTCTCAGCCCTGGTCTGGCGGAAACACTGGCTACTGCATTGGCCTGAAATAAGCCAACCCCTTTTTTAAAAGCTACATAGAGAAATAAGACGTTTTTTGTTTGTATCCTTAAACATGCAAGCTCACTAATACAGCCACAGTACTTTTTAGTTTTAGCACTAACACAACTAAAATGTTGATGGTCATGGCCAGACCCTCAGGCTATTATTGGTCCCACTAGCTCCAGTCTGGTCTGTTTTGACTAGTGTGTGATAACGATTTATATGCAAGATGTTCACATGTCTAACATTTTTGACTGATGTGAATACAGCATCAGGAACTACTCTTTATAATTGTTTTGTTTTCTTTGTTCACTGTCACACTTGTTTTTTTGTTCTTGGCAGTGATGGACATCAGTGATATCATCAAAGGGAAGAATGAATGCGATGAAGAGAAGCAGTTCTTTATCCCATTCTTCCCGTATGTTGTATTTCCCTCTTTTACTATCAAACACTCCATGTAATTCAAAGCAATATTGCATTTTTCGTGTGAAGGTTTCAGCATTTGTGAGACTTTTTTATTAAACAATTTCTATGGGTTTTAAAGTGTGTTTTGTTTGGCTCCAGGGTAGTTGCTGAGAATGACTTTCTACACTCCTTGCTGAACAAAGTGACAGCGTCACGAGGAGACAGTGGCGGGCAAGGTACGCTTCTGCATTTACCAGCTTCTCTCTCTGTATCCATGTGTGAAAGCCAGGGGATTTTTCTGGCAAAGTAAGTGGCCCTGTATGCTCTAAAGGTTCCCACTGGACTGAGTACGCTGCAGCCAATTGTGGTGAGACAAAATGGCCATGTCTCATCACATCCTCACCTCTTCTCTCTGCTCTGTGGGTGAGAACGGAGGACATTATCCTGATGGATAGCATGAGCCCTCGAGCCGATGTTTTCATATTACTTACCCTTTTTTTCTCCCTCACAAGGTTTAGTCTCGCTGCCCACTGCCCAATGTATATGGCAGACTGTGACAGCCTCTATGGGTGGCACCTCATAGACGTAGCCTGCATGTCGGACTACAGTGTCATATCACTCAGCTTTATCTTTCCTCACGCTCCTGAAAGCCCTGGGTGTAACCTAGATAGGAAAGGACGAGCAGATATGGAAGGAGCACCTGAGGCCGGCCGATGTCTGTTCTTTCCATTACTCACTCCTAATCTCTCCTTCCTCTCACTCATTTTTCTGCCACAGCACACACTGACACACATATCAAGAGTAATCCCTGTAGGTATGCTTTTAGCCTTGAACATGTGGGTTTGTGACACAGTCCATGTACTATTGTGAAATGGCTCATCCTTTTCCATGCTTTTTCCCATCATTTCTCTGAAAGATTTGAGAGCCCATATTCTTTAGGACAACATTCCTCCCCCCCCCCTTCTTTTACACCCCTTTGACAAACAGGAGACAGAGGTTTTATAGTGTTATTGATTAGTCTAGTCTGTAACAACAGAAGACATTTTCACATCCGCACATCACCTTGAGACACTTTAACATTATGCTCCTCGTATATAAACACTTAGATTTTACAAAGTGGATCTCACTTTATGTTCATCTGTCAAGCTTAAGTGTTTTAGGGATGCTGAAAACCTCTTAAAATGTTTTCATGAATTAAGATTTAATAGTAGAGGGCCTTGAAATTCTTTTTTCCTTTCTTTGGCTTTAATTCGATTTTACTTACCGGCAGAGCAAAATAAAAACTCTCTGGATCCCTTATTTTTAGAATCAACCGAAGTGGCAGCAATTTCTTCTTAAATGTTCTGATATTCGGTTCCACAAAGTTCTGTATTAAGTAGCATTGAATTACAAACTTATAGCCCAGTGTTTTCCTATAAGCTGTTTTGGGTGCTCAACTTTGTTCCCTATTAAAGTATTACAGGAGAATGTGTTTATATTCCTTGATTGTGGCACTGAACAGTAATGAACACAACATCTTCAGTAGTTACCAAGGAGTCAATAAGCGATAAATCAGTACAGGGATGGATATCGGATACTGTCCAGTTGATATGATATCTTTTTTTTGATAATAATGGACATCTAACCTTAAACATGTTTTTATTGTATTCATGTTTCTGTGGTCTTGTTTTTTTTTCCTCTTTTTCTTGTGAAGCACTTTATGAATTGTATTTCTGAAAGGTGCTATACTAAATAAACGTATTATTATTATCTTAAAATTCCACAAGGAAATGTTGCTTCTTTACAAATGTATTGCTTAGTTATTATTATTACACTTTAGATTTGTGTCATCTTTCTTAAGAGACACAAGAATCTTCTGATGATCTAAAGGGGCTTATCATTCATATGTATTTTTAAGGAAAGTCAACACTGCTTAAGAAAAGGGAATAAAAGAATCGTCCCATTGTAAACATCCAGTTTTTTACTTATGAACCTGAGGAATGTACATGGGTAGAATATGAATCCAAAGCCTCTTTCTCTCCCCTGTCTCCCTCCAGGTCTGTGGGTGACTTTGAAGACTCTGGTCGGGGACATAGTTCAGATCCGGAAGGAATACCCTCACCTGGTGGACCGCAGCACCGTGGTGGCCCGCAAGCTGGGCTTCCCGGAGATCATTATGCCGGGAGACGTGCGCAACGACATCTACCTCACCTTACAGGGCGGCGACTTCGACAAATACAACAAGACGACACAGAAAAACGTGGAGGTCATCATGTGGGTCTGCGATGAGGAGGGCAAGGTCATACAGGTGAGCAGCACGAAGAGATGAGGCTGCGGACACACGCGCATATTTAAAGAGAAAAGGGATTAGTGTAAACACACATTGATTTGTGTGTCTGGGATTTGAGGTGGAGTCTGCAGGTAAGAGTGTGTGTGCCTGTGTACCCTATGTGTAATGTTTAAGAGATTGAGTTGGTTTAGGCCACTGAGCAAACACGGCACTGATCAGGGGCTTATTCACCCCCTCATAGTCAGGGACACAAACGTGGCTTTATCCCAGAATGAAAATCCATTTTTAGGCACACATGGATGAACATCACACACGCACATATGCACACAAAGTCACAAACATAAAATCCTTCATCTCAATATGACACAAACTTTTTTCTCTCTCTCCCTCTTTCCTAGAACTCCATCTGTTTGGGCGCAGGGGATAAGGCGGTCAGTGAGTACAGATCCGTCATCTACTACCAAGTCAAACAGCCCCGCTGGATGGAGACAATTAAGGTGTGTGTGTGTTTGTGTGAGAGGGAGTTGCAGAGCTAACAATTCAAATAAAGTTTGTGGTAGAATTTTACTTTTTTCTATAGAAACTTATTTTTGTTTTCTTGAAGGTGTCTCCATTTCAAACATAACTACCAAGAAAATAAACCTGTAAAGTTTGAATATATGTTCTTATATATTTCCTATAATAATGTGTCCTCCAGGTGGCTGTTCCCCTGGAAGAAATGCACAGGATTCATTTACGCTTCATGTTCAGACACCGCTCTTCCCAGGAGTGTGAGTATTGGCCTCTCCGCCTCTCCACTGCTCCCCTGAGCATTATGGGGCACTGCAAACACCGAATGATTGGGAGCAATTTGGAAAATGGCCCAAGCCATCATTACGCACACTTGATTATACAAATCGCTGCTTTTTATTCCTGCAATGTCTGAATCCTCCCTCCACCTCCTCCCCTTCTTATGTGTTTCTACCCTCTTTAAATGTATAAACCCGTCTCCTTCGTCTCCAGCCAAGGACAAGAGCGAGAAGAACTTTGCCATGGCCTTTGTGCGTCTGATGAAGGACGACGGGACAGTTCTGCAAGATGGACTGCATGACCTTGTAGTCTTCAAGGTCAGAATCAAAAACAGAACCAATGCAGAAAGAAAGCAGACGATCAGGTTCATAGAAAAACAAATCATCATGATGCAAATTTCAGCTCACTGATTTATCTAAAGTGGATGTGCAAGAACCATATCCCATCGTCAAAGCCCCTCTGAGAGTAAAACATGACAGGGTGAGCATTTAATGATGAGAAATGATCCCAGTTTATTTGGATTAAACAGCCATTATTACAATACATCTGGAATAAATGTGTAGGTACAAGTTTAAGTGGCAACATACAAACTGGTAAACAACACAACCAGCGCAATAACTATTTAATGACCAGATATCATTAATAGTTATATTTTCTATAACAGTTAATCAGTTGCAAGTATCATTAAAGAAGACCTAAACATTTAGTGAGTCTGGACCGGAGATTATAGCAACCCAGGTTGAATAAAGCCAAATAGATTTGCTGCCAAATGAGCCAAAGCTAAGATTGAATCCCACTATTGATTAAATGCCAAACGCAATGAAGATTAATTACTCGTGTTACTCTAAAGACCAAATGGATGGTCCCTATGTGCCCTCTTTCTCGATTATCTCTCGTTATCCCTGCATTCCTCTCGATCTCTGTGCCACTCACTCATTATTACTTACTCTTTTGGCATTTAAGAGGGTAGAGTTGAGGTTTGAGCCCCAAACGAATCTGACCTGACCTACAGTACAGTGAATCATATATAAAAAGTATAGTAGGTAAAGTTTAATCACATTAACAAAACGTATACAAAATAGTAATATAAATCAATTTGATGTTGCTTATTCTCATAGTTTCCGTCTTCTCTATGTGTTCGGTCTATCTCTTCAGCACTTTCAGCAAGAAAAATGCTGTACCAACAGCTGGGGTGGTTTTTGTTTGGGTCTAACCTGTTTTCTAAAGTTATGAGTTTACAAACCGAAATGGAGTCAGGTAGAAGTAGATAATGCATTGTGATCACAGAGAACAACTGCTGTGGAACCGGCGACTCCAGGTACTGTTTGTCTTTTGTTCCTTCAGGGCTGGCCTTATAAATCATTGCCAGTGTATCCAACCCCAGTGTCTCGTACTCCTGTGTTTCTATCACGACAGTCTGACTTAACACAGGAAGTATAATTCCCATCCCAATGCTGCTGCGTAGCCATCAACCATCTGTGCCATCATTAGCAAGTTTTAGCATTACTGGTGTGTCAACATAATTGTTTTCATCACAATTTGTTGACCATACTAAAAGTGTGGTCCCTCTCAACCTGAAGAGTATGTATTTAATAAATACATTAATTGTGTTTATTTAATTATCTTTTCGAAGGTTGAGAGAGACTGAAACTTTAGTACGATTACTACATTGTGATGCTGAACATTATTGGGTTGAAAATGACTCCCTTACATTGTATTCTCAGGGTGACAGCAAGCGCATGGAAGACGTGAACTGCTACCTCTCACTGCCTTCGACCCGCAACAACCACAGCGACAACCACAAGGGGTCAGTGCTGAGTCGCAGCTCCAGCAACGTGTCCGGGAGTGGAGGCCTGTCCGTCAGCTCCAGAGACAGCTTCTGCACCTCCACCCTGGTCTGCTCCACCAAGCTCACCCAGAATGGTAGGTGTACAGTATGTGTGTTTCTGTGCGTGGGGGGAAGGTGTGGAATGTTCGAATAGCTCCTTTTTGACATTCTGTTAAAATTCATCAACTCTGGAGACTTGGAAGGGCAAAACATTTATTTCAGAAACATGCATGCACGTACAGTACGCACACACGCTCACAAAAGTTGAAGAAAGGTCACGACAGAAATTATGAGGAGGAACGTATTTGAAATTAATCCTGACATGTTAAAAAAAACATTAATTAACATCTTTCAACAGAGTAATAAGGGCATGCCAAGACAATGAATCATCTGTTGGTTGATAAATTGGTAGAGGACACATCCGCTGCTTAGGAGGTTTCTTTATTTCTGAAAACATGACTGGTCTGAATACCATATTCTCTTGGGCTTACTGTTTGGGAAAGACATATTTCTCTTCAGAACAACAACATAATTAGTAGTGATATGCACATAAACGGCAACCCTGGAGCCAAATTTTATTTTTAGATTCAAAGCTGTCATGGTGACAATAGCTGAAAGGTCCAGTGAGATATAAAGATGTCCAGTCAATTAATAAAGAATCAACTGTATATTAATCTGGTTGTGTGTGTGTGTGTAACATGTTACGGCCATGGGCTATTAAGCACAGGCTAGTGGGAACTGTGTGTATACATGGGTTTGATTAGTGAGGAGTGTGTCATTTTGTCCTACACACTCTGGCAGGCAGCCAGACAAGCAGACTCACACACTGAAGTGCACAACAACAAATACACACACACACACACACACACACACACACACACACACACACACACACACACACACACACACACACACACACACACACACACACAATGCACGTACTTTCCAGACAGTATGGTGCATCAGGCACAGGTGCAGGGAAACAGCTGTTACTGAGGAAGCCAGTCCATCACTATAATGAACATTATCCTGCAATATTAATCACCAGTACCACAAACACACTCAAACTGACACACACACAAAGACACTCTCAGGCATGCATGCACACAGTGTGGTAAGGGGCCACCCAGCAGATGTGCGGCTTGGCTTGGTGAGTCAGGAATTATTGGACAGGAAAAGCAATGAGCTTCAAGCAGGCAGCCCTGCAGGGACGGGGAAATCTGCCCCATGTCAAACTGTGGCAGAATTAATGACAGAAACTGTGGATTTAAATGTTCAGCTTAAAGTCTGAGCAGAGGAACAGGGAGTGTCCACATGACACATCATCACTAGACGAATGGCTGTACTTATACATAAGAGATGGATTTACAAAATAATATCTATGTATTGAATATATTATTTAGTTTAAGATTCGGCAACATTCACATTTTTGTTCTTTCAATCTTTATTATTCTTTCTTACCTCTTGGTCTGCTCCTACTTGTGCCTACTTTCTGCTACAGAAACCTTTGAAATATCAGTGTTCCGCTCCTTAAGGAGATGTGTGCAATGTCTTTCCATGTTCCTTCCTCTTTTTAGTTTTATGTTCTTTCCCTTTGTTTTGGAGAGAATCTTCCAATCCTCTTAAAACCTGCTCAACTTGAAAATGTAACTCCATTGACATATTTTTAGCTTCAAACTTTATTTCTAACTTTAAACAATGCTACGAGACTATGAGACATAAAACCATGAGTTGGCTTTTCATATATTTTAAAGTTTTAACTTTATCACAATTTCCTTTTATGCCCTTTTCTGAGTTTAAAATGGCTGTGAGTTGTGGTGCGTAGATTGTGTCGCATCACATAACCTGCGATGTCCCCAACTTGATCTATTATTTTTACAATTTTTTTCGTACTTATAGTTTTCAGAACTTTCACTTCTCAAGCACGATCTTATATTATGTAGGTTATGCACTAACCAGGACACAGAAGCTCACACACGCTGATTGGATTTTCGTAGTAAGAGCCCCAAGTGGGTAATAAGTATTTATCAGGGAGTCTTGCACAACACTTGATTTTTTAAGGCGACCAGCTGTGCTCATGTCTGGACTTTTTAAGTTTTTTTTCACATTTCAATTTCCAATTTGTATTACTTCTGTATTACTTCATCTGCATTTTCTGCAGGAAATTCCATTACTAGTTTTATTGTGGCTGTAACTAACAATAACTTTACTGATTCATTAATTTATGGTTACTTTATGTACGTGTATCAACAATTTACCTTGTGCAAATGCTATTTACATAAAATGGATAAATAACAGATACAGGAGTCTAGGCATGCTTCGTATATAGAGTATTATGTACATCCAAACCACAAAGTATTAATTTCACAAAGATATGAAATGGAGAAAAGCAGCAGATTGCTGAATATCATATTGTTGCCAATCTTTTCTGTCGATTAGACCATATATTAAGTATTTTGTACAACTCTTATTTCATTGCAGCATAACTGCTTATCAACACCAACTTCTTATCTTACTAATTATGTTAAAAGTGCAGTTTATATGTATTCTGAAGAACAAAGGGGAGACACACTGTCACATGTTCAAGGGAACACAGTGAAAATACTCAATTGAGAAAATTACAGTCTTTAACGATGCATTTGGAACACATTTCCATTTTAACAGCTTTAATCAGCATCTAGTTTTGAGCTAGGCAGCTGCGTTTAAGACAGCTGAACAGTAAATGTACTCTGTGGGTCTCTTCTCTCCAGTGGGCCTGCTGGGGCTGCTCAAGTGGAGGAGTCGACCCGAACTCCTCAAAGAAAACCTTGAGAAACTCAAAATGATTGATGGAGAGGAGGTGGTCAAGGTCAGTGCTGTGAATACAAGTGTGTCTTTACATTAAGTGTGCAGACTGACATGTGTGTGATCTCACTCTCTTCTTCTGGATGTATGGGTTTTAGTTTCTGCAGGACACTCTGGATGCCTTGTTCAGCATCATGATGGAACACTCTCAGACTGACGACTATGACATACTTGTTTTTGACGCCTTGGTGAGTTTGTGGTGTTTGTTTACACAGATAATGTCGTGTATGTCTCTGTTTGTGTGTGGCCTGTCACCAGATACAGCTGAATTTGTGACATCTTGGCGTACCTATCCACCTTTTTCTAAATAAACATGTCTATCAGATGATTGTGCATAACTTCCTATCTGCCTTGTAAATGTATACTCCCATTTAACCATGTAGCTCTCTCTGTCTCTCTTGTGTCTGCCAGATATACATCATAGCTCTGATTGCTGATAGGAAGTTCCAGCACTTCAACACAGTGTTGGAGGCCTACATCAAGCAGCATTTCAGCGCTACACTCGCATACAAGTAAGTCACTTCCTGGATCACAGACCACTTCCTTTCATCTCATTCTGTTTCAGAGTTCATGCGTTTCCTGAATGACAGAAGCCACTGTTCTCACAATGTGTTCTTGTTGCATCATATTGTAATGTTTTATATTCTGAACAAAATGTCTACACCTTTTCTCAGTAGGATCATTTATAAGTGCTCCAAAAATAGAAAGCAAAGACATCTCTCTACTCATCTGCCACAGGAGACTTTATTATCAATTCAACTCAATGAGCTGGCTATTTAAGGGTTAAGTCATTTTACTGTGGCCTCCATAAACTGTCAGCTGAATACTTAATTTGAAACATTTATTCTCCTTTTGTGGGAAAATACAAGCGCTGCAGTGTATCAGCAATGTTCCCTGTTTGCGTTTCAAATGAAGGGTTATCTGATCTTTCCCCACCCCTTGGCATTTACGAAATCTTTAAAATCCCATTAGATAATAAAAAAATGCTCTGTCATCAAGCCAAAAAACAGATTGTCTTGTCTTTCTTATGCCCTTGCCACACGAGGACGAAAACGATAACGGACCGCAATCGTTATCAAAAAAAGTCTTCCGTCCACACGCAACAGGCACCAGAAACGTGTCCGTTCACACGAGACCGCTCGAAAGCTCTGGAGACGCTGTAGTACATATGCCAGGCCTGTAAGTGGCGCTGTACTCCTACTACAAAAGCAGCGAAGAAGACTTCCCGCGCATGGTTGCCCTTCTGTTTATTCTCCGCTGTAGCTCTTTTTCTCGCTTTGCTCCTGCTGTAAATCTCTCCGGTAGTCCACCAGCAGATGAAAAACACCCACCTCTCCGCCTCTTCCAAGGGACGAGGGAACCGTGCAGCAGAGTTTCAGTTCAACATGTCCGTTAAAGTTTAAATCTTCCGGACAAAATTAGAAAAGTGCCGGTCAAAGATCTTCTTTGTTATTTATTGAGCTTTAAAACAAATCGATATGATTCGATATAATAATAATATAAGAATAATACACAGAGGAAGGAGCCTCTCTTTTCCTCCCCCTCTTCTGAGAGCCCAGCAGCTGATCTCAAAGCACGCTCCCCTCTCCTGCAGGGGGGCATGGTCAGCTGCAGCTCATTTGCATTAAAGCTACGTCACAGATTCAGCCCTTGCAAAAACAGGGCTGGAAAAGAGCAATTAGAGCGAAATGAGGCATGGCTAAAATGCATGATCTGTTTGGTATTTTGAAGAAAAAACTTACNGCTCATGAACACACACACACACACACACACACACACACACACACACACACACACACACACACACACACACACACACACACACACACACACACACACACATTGTGTGTGTGTGTGTGTGTGTGTGTGTGTGTGTGTGTGTGTGTGTGTGTGTGTGTGTGTGTGTGTGTGTGTGTGTGTGTGTGTGTGTGTGTTCATGAGCACATCAGCACTTGATTAATTGGCTCCATTGAGTCACACAGTCATCCTTGAACAACAGAAGGCTTACAAAGTGACTTTTCTAAATAAAGTGTTGCTGCTATGACTCCTAAATTCCCCTACATTGTATCTTATCTTATCTCATCTTATCGTATACGTGCTTTTAAAGTGACTTGATCTAGAATTGAAAATTCTTTATCTGAATCAGAGAATACCTAGTGTGAATAAAGCATCCACCCCCCTTATCTTTACATTGTCTTTATATGATATAGATGTAATGTGTCTGCCTAGAAATAATTACCTGCTATATCCTGCAACTGCCACAAGGGGGCAGCAGTAACTAACATAAAGGACACCAGTGTGCGTCACAGTTTTCTCAAAGACGAATTGTACATTTCATTGCATGAGTATATCAGATTTAGCTGGTGGGTTATGTGCCAAAATGATAACCCTCTGAACATAGGAACAAAAAGTAATTCGTTGTTAAATTAAATGTGCCATATTCTTTAAATGTAAAGCATGAGGTAAGGGTGTATTTTCTGTACTATCTCTGTGTCCAGCTGGCACCCATCCGCAGTGTTAATGTTAAGAGGAGCTGTGACGGCCCAGCTGAAGTGAAGCCACTGGCTCGCAGGCTGCAGGGGACTCTGCTCTACCAAGAGCTTTCCCACAGAGTTGCCAACTGAAGGTTTGCTTTATTTACTGGTCTGCGATTACAGCAGCAGTGCTGGGTCAAATTAAATGTAGTGGCAAGAGTAGCATTTAATTTAAAAGATGCAGTGTGAACATCACTTGTTAAGGATGATTAAGTGTATATTGTGTTCGTTCAAGTAATCAGCCTTCAGCAGCCTCTCACTGTGACCAATCAGCAACATTTCTGTCGTGGAGCAACATGAACAAGAAAGCTGCATGCTGCCATTCATCTGAGCTACACTCTTTTCTACAGAAAGTATACAAATGATGTAGTATAGTATATCAAATATATTAAAGGACAATCTTGACAAATGTTATAGCACAATAGTTGTTATAACACTTCACCATAAAGCTAATTCCAATTTAAAAAAAGAAGGTGCAGTACAAATTGCAATGATAAAGAAATATAAAAGGCAGATTCTATAGCAACATTAAAAGCAAAGCAGAGACAACATTTAACCATTTCACATGTGATCAATTCACACAAGGCACAGGTTGCTCACGGACATTTAACGTACAATTTAGCATTTAGGATTCACATATCAAAATCACATTAGAAGTCACAAAATTCCACAATCCTACTTTGACCGGATTGCTCTGACTTTTAAATCAAAAATGAAAAAACCGAGGTTCCCACTTATGGGCCCCAGGAGACCCTGTGGACCCAACCCAGTCTCACATCTAAACGTGTAATAACTACGTTGGTCCACAACTTGGGACGTAGTATTTCAAGTGACATGTAATGTGATGTGTCCATTCAGTAATCCAGATATGGCTATTACAGAGTAGAGGATTGGCTCCTGCTATCCTCTGCCAGTCCAAGAGTATTCTGTTTTCTCATTTTTTTTTATGTCAATAACTTGAAACTGACAGCGGTTTAGAGATTCTTATTCAGGAAACCTCTGAAATCTCTTTTAAAATTTTAAATTAATCTGATAGAGTCTTTGTCGTACATACTACTATAAACTATTAAATACTAAGAGCGAAAACAGTTCAAACAGAGCTAACAGTGATAACCTGCAGGAGAACTGGAGGATGAGCATTAGGTTTCTGCGAAAATGCTGCGACTCGTTTTTAGTGGTTTTTGCCAGAGCGGCAGCCATTAGCTAGCCAGTGGGGCACATTTTCTGCTCAGGTAGACGTGACTCCACTATCTTTACATAGCAAATAGTTGTTTGATGCTATATGTTCTGTATGCCGTATTAGAACATTTTATAAAAATGGATTGCAATAAGCCTGCATGATTCATTCTTAGTTTTAAACTAAAACTGTAAATCTTGCCGGTTCCAAAAACTGACCTAAAAAACGTCTTGAGATCTTCCCTTCTGTCTGTTTGACAGTGGCCAAAACCCTGAACTCATTTCAGTTTGTTTTTAGTATTAAGCCGTGACCTGAACTGTCAGCAAACAAAAGACAGCTTGTCACTCTCCCCAGCCAGCTACTAAAAACAACTCTTACATCAACAGACACACACTTCCACTTCCAGCCCAGAAACAGGGCTTAACTCCCAGCTTTCCTGTAACTGGCTCTCATATAATGTTAGCTCTCAATTCTCCTCTATCGTTTCCTTTCTTCTGTTGCCCGCTGAATCCTGCCTTCTTATCTCTCTCTCTGCCTTGCTCTCTCTTTCCTTCAAGTACAGTGTCCTGTAATCCTTGCCAGAAAGTGTAATTTGCATAATCTGAATTTGCTTAATCTGCCGTCCTGGCGGCGATGGAGAGGGCTCGCTCTCACCGGCCTCTATAATGTCAGAGAGTGCTCTCCAAGAAAGTAGCTGCTCTACTGGCCATGGGCTCCCTGGGTAAATGGAGGAAGTATCTTAAACAATGGATTTAAACTGCAACAGTCCTGTTTACACCATGCAAAATCTACACAACATAATCATGTTGCAAGGCAACTCGCTGTTTCTGAGACGCATTGTTTTCCACAGTGAACATCCAAGCCAGTGGACATGAGCCCAATCCCTGAGTGTCCTTTAGCTCACTCTGCTTGAAGACACACACAATCACACTGTGGCGGACCCTCGAACAAGACACACTTGAAGACATTATTTCAGGTTCAGAGATAAAACATTAAGAACCCATGTGTAATATAATACACACTCCCATGCTTGCATGCTCACACACATCTGTTTGCTTACTAATCCTTGGCCTGTGAGTGAGGACTGAAGAGCTGGAGGGTGTTTGCAGTGTTTGTTTACTGTCAAGGCACGCACGCTATTAATCCACCAAATGTCACTTCCTCATATTAGAGTGCCACTTATATTTGGGATATAAGTGTGTCAAATACTGCTAATTTACACACGTATGACCATGCCAATATTCAGTTTGAGAGTAAATACACACACACACACACACACACACACACACACACACACACACACACACACACACACACACACACACACACACACACACACACAGCTGGATGCTAAGAGAGGAGAATGACAAGATGACTTAATAGGCACTCACACCAGCTAATGGGAGTGTGGGTGATTGAGAAAGGAAGCAAATGAGAGAAAGAATGGAGGCATATGAGAGAGAGGAAAGAGGGAAGGGAGCAGTTTATGGAGAAAATTAGAAGACAAGAGAGAGAGAAAAAAAACGAGGAAGAAAAGGGCCAAACAACAGGGAGAGGACAAAGGAGAGGGGTAAAATGGAAAAGGATTTGAAATGTTAGAAAAAAGCATAAAAATTCAATGTTGAGGGTCGGGAGGGAGGAAGCAGGAAGCAAGAAGAAGGCAGATGAGTGACAGAGAAGGAAAGGAGATATAGGGGCTGCAAAGGAAATGAAAAATTCATAAGGGAGGGGAGAAAAATGCAAGGTGAGAATGTTGCTGAAGAGATGGGTTGTCAGAGGCCAAAACACATGTGAAAGAAAG